TATGCAACACAAAGATAACCACGAAACCAAACAAATCTAGTCTCATCTAGAGTGAACTCTCCAGGTTTACCTTCTTGGATGCGCTCCCCCACCTACAACAATAATCGGTCATTCTGTTGTGCCTCTCTCACTCTGTCTGGGATAGCTAACTGAAGAATGAATTGTGCCTCCTCATGTGCTACACCGGCAAAACAATATGAGATGCCCATCCGCTCAAAATCTGCAATGTGACAACCTAAAGGAGGAGGGACAATCTTGCGGCTAAGAGCATCCACAAGCACAAATGCTTTGCCAGGGTGGTCCTGGATTGATAGGTCATAGTCCTTTATCAATTCTAACCATCGTCCTTGCCTTAAGTTTAGCTCCTTTTGAGTGAAGATATATTTCAGACTCTTATGATCAGTGAAAATATCACAAGATTCTCCGCAAAGATAAGGCCTTGATATCTTAACTGCAAAGACCACAGCCGCAACCTCTAGATCAAGAGTAGAATAGTTCTGCTCATGCTTTTTCAGTTTACTAGAAGTATAGGCAATTACCTCACCGATCTCCATGAAGCCGACTTCTTTCTCCGCCGACATGGCACGGTCATGGAAACATTCACGACGGATGGCACGGTCGCAGGCACGAGAGGAGCGGTGCCATGATACGTCTCCAACGTATCTATAATTTTTTATTGTTCCATGCTATTATATTATCCATCTTGGATGTTTTATATGCATTTATATGCTATTTTATATGATTTTTGTGACTAACCTATTAACCTAGAGCTCAATGCCAGTTTCTGTTTTTCATTGTTTTTGAGTTTTACAGAAAAAGGAATAGCAAACAGAGTCCAAATGACCTGAAAATTTACGGTGATTTTTTATGGACCAGAAGAAGCCCCCAAAACAAAAGAGTTGGGCCAGAAGTCCTGAGCCAACCACAAGGACGAAGGGTGCGCCCTACCCCCCAGGGAGAGTGCTCCTGTCTTGTGGTTGACTTGTGGACCCCCTTGACTTGTTCTCGACGCCAAAAATTCCAATAAATATAAACCTAGATCGGGAGTTCCGCTGCCGCAAGCCTGTGTAGCCATGAAAATCAATCGGGAGCCCGTTCCGGCACCCTGACGGAGGGGAATCCATAACCGGTGGTCATCTTCATCATCCCGTCGCTCTCCATGACAAAGAGAGAGTAGTTCACCCTCGGGGCTGAGGGTATGTACCAGTAGCTATGTGTTTGATCTCTCTCTCTCTCTCTCTCTCTCTCTTGTGTTCTTGATTTGGCACAATCTTGATGTACCGTGAGCTTTGTTATTATAGTTGGATCTTATGGTGTTTCTCCCCTCTACCTTCTTGTAATGGATTGATTTTTCCCTTTGAAGTTATCTTATCGGGTTGAGTCTTTAAGGATTTGAGAACACTTGATGTGTGTCTTGCATGTGCTTATCTGTGGTGACAATGGGATATTCACGTGATCCACTAGATGTATGTTTTGGTGATCAACTTGTTGGTTCTATGATCTTGTGAACTTATGCATAGGGGTTAGCACACGTTTTCGTCTTGACACTCCGGTAGAATCTTTGGAGCACTCTTTGAAGTTCTTTGTGTTGGTTTGAATAGATGAATCTGGGATTGTGTGATGCATATCATATAATCAAACCCGTGGATACTTTACTAGCATGCTTGAAGTATTATAGTTTTTATGTCAATATTAAACTTTTGTTTTGAATCTTATGGATCTGAATATTCTTTCCACAATAGAGAAGATTACATTGATAAATATGTTAGGTAGCATTCCACATCCAAAATTCTGTTTTTATCATTTACCTACTCGAGGACGAGCATGAATTAAGCTTGGGGATGATTGATACATCTCCAACGTATCTATAATTTTTGATTGTTCCATGCTATTATATTATCCATCTTGGATGTTTTATATCCATCTATATGCTATTTTATATGATTTTTGGGACTAACCTATTAACCTAGAGCCTAGTGCCAGTTTCTATTTTTTCCTTGTTTTTGAGTTTTACAAAAAAGGAATACCAAACGGAGTCCAAATGACCTGAAAATTTATGGTGATTTTTTATGGACCAGAAGAAACCCCCAAAACAAAAGAGTGGGGCCAGAAGAGTCCCGAGTCAACCACAAGGACGGAGGGCGCGCCCTACCCCCCAGGGAGGGTGCTCCTGTCTTGTGGTTGACTCATGGACTCCCCCTGACTTGTTCTCGATGCCAAAAAATTATATAAATATAGAAACCCCCAGAAACAAACCTAGATCGGGAGTTCCGCCGCCGCAAGCCTCTATAGCCACGAAAAACCAATTGGGAGCCCGTTCCGGCACCCTGTCGGAGGGGGAGTCAATCACCGGTGGCCATCTTCATCATCCCGACGTTCTCCATGATGAAGAGGGAGTAGTTCACCCTCGGGGCTGAGGGTATGTACCAGTAGCTATGTGTTTGATTTCTCTCTCTCTTTGTCTCGTGTTCTTGATTTGGCACGATCTTGATGTACCGCGAGCTTTGCTATTATAGTTGGATCTTATGATGTTTCTCACCTTCTACTTTCTTGTAATGGATTGAGTTTTCCCTTTGAAGTTATCTTATTGGATTGATTCTTTAAGGATTTGAGAACACTTGATGTATGTCTTGCACGTGCTTATCTGTGGTGACAATGGGATATTCACGTGATCCACTTGATGTATGTTTTGGTGATCAACTTGCGGGTTCTGTGACTTTGTGAACTTATGCATAGGGGTTGGCACACGTTTTCGTCCTGACACTTCGGTAGAAACTTTGGGCACCCTTTGAAGTTTTTTGTGTTGGTTTGAATAGATGAATCTGAGATTGTGTGATGCATATCGTATAATCAAACCCGCGGATACTTGTGGTGACATTCGAGTATCTAGGTGACATTAGGGTTTTGGTTGATGTGTGTCTTAAGGTGTTATTTTAGTACGAACTCTAAGGGCTGTTTGTGACACTCATAGGAATATCCCAATAGATCGATAAAAAATAATAACTTTAAGGTGGTTTAATACCCTACAATAATCTCTTCGTTTGTTCTCCACTATTAGTGACTTTGGAGTGACTATTTGTTGCACGTTGAGGGATTGTTATATGATCCAATTATGTTACCATTGTTGAGAGAACTTGCACTAGTGAAAATATAAACCCTAGGCCTTGTTTCCAAGCATTGTAATACCGTTTTCGCTCACTTTTACTACTAGTTACCTTGCTGTTTTTTTATATTTTCAGATTACAAAAACCTATATCTACCATCCATATTACATTTGTATCACCATCTCTTTGCCGAACTAATGCACCTATACAATTTACCATTGTATTGGGTGTGTTGGGGACACAAGGGACTCTTTGTCATTTGGTTGCAGGGTTGTTTTGGAGACACCATCTTCATCCTACGCCTCCCACGGATTGATAAACCTTAGGTCATCCACTTAAGGAAAATTTGCTACTGTCCTACAAAACTCTGCGCTTGGAGGCCCAACACGAGTCTACAAGAACAAGGTTGCGTAGTAGACATCATGCCACACATCATCATCCACGGCATCCATGATGCCTATGCCGCCGTGGTCCCTCGCGTGCCGCGCCGGAGCAACCCGCTACTCCTCGGCAAGCTCACTTGGAGTGGCGAGTTGCTGAACGACGCGCCGGCTTGGAGCTTCTATCTCCGCGAGCTGTCCTGCAGCGGCCTGGCTCGTATCCGGCGGGTTCGACGAGCCACCCAACCGGCTTTTATGTCGGAGAACTCATCTTCTTGCTCGCTCGATGCCATGGAGACTGTGAAGAAAATGGTGTGCAAGGAGGAGATGGGAGCGGAGTGTGGTGCGATTTTTACCCGGCGTCTGTCATCGTTTAAATAGCGGGGAACGACCGGAGCCAATTGGCGTTATATTTAATGACAGGCAGCTTGCGAACAGACATGTGCCTGGAGTAGGTTTCTCGGCACATGCGCGAGTTCGCGTCCACTCTACAATGACATGAATGTGGGTAGCTGGCGCCGGACGGAAAGCGCGTGCGGGCGAGGAATAGGGTTTTTCGGTGGCTAGGGCGATCAGGAGTGACCGTGGCAGTGGTCCGGACGCCCGCAAGCCCCTAATTTATCTTCAGTTTGCGGGAGGAACTGCGTCCGGATCGCTCGGCGGAGACACAACACATCCGGATCGTTCGGTGGAGACACAACACGTCCGAACCGCACGGTCAAAACATATGCCGGCTGTTTAAGTGTCGGTGTTGGAGATGCCTTTACGGGTGATCCGCTGGGTACTACTACCTCCGTATTAAAATATGAAACGTTTTATAGTATGATAAATCTAGCCTTAGAAAACGTATACGAAGGGAGTATGCAATACGATGTACAAGGACTCGGAGTTGTGTGTCTAACACGAATTCTGCCTTTGAGCGGGACCAAAGAGCATGTAGTACTCCCGCTGCCCGCTGCAAGGCCCATCCCAATCAGTGATCCAAATCTCCCTGCATTGACACGGCACCGACACTGCGCGATCACAAATGTCTCGCCATAGAGTCTCGAGAAACATCAGATTAGATTACTGGTAGTACAGTGGTGACAACAAAATTATCTCACCATAAAACAATCTCTAATTAAAGCGAGTTACTGTAATAACCAGTGTCTGAAGCAGCGGCTGCTATTTTACGGCGCCCTGAAAAGTCGTGCTCGGTACCAGTGGCGCACAGGCAGGCAGACACACACCGACCGACCACAGCACTTCCAAACAAAACACCACTAGTTCCCAAGCCCCAGCTAGCTAAATGAGCAGCTCTGCCTTTGCTGCTTTCGCTCTGCTCTTCCGTCCCCTTCCCCCCTTTCTCCCCCCTCCACCCGGCTCGCTGCCGGTGGCCGCCGCTTCCGCCGCCCGCTTTATTCCCTGCTGATTTACACATCGGCTGCTCAGCTCGAGCTGCGTAGGAAGATTGTGGAGGTCCCAGCGCCTCACATCACCCGTGCAGCCGAACAAAGAACCACTACTCCCGGAGGAGATGAAGTCCCGGAGCTCTGCGAGGGGCGAGCCGAGGAGGTTCGGGAATGTGGCTCTCCTGGCCCTCATGCTCTGCTCCCTCGTCGCGCTCTCGCTCATCAGGGCCAGGTTCTCCCCAATCGGTAACGCCATCGCCTGCTCTTTTTTGCTCTTTCTTCTTTTGTTCCTGGCTATGCAGAGGCATGGCCAGTGGTGGGAGCAAATCTGAGGGCGTCAGAGCTGCTGTTTGACCGCTCTCATGGTGTCGCTGCGTTTCTGCAGGGAATACAGCCGTTGCAGAGACCATCAAAGTGGAGGATCCGAAGCCCGTGGTGGTGAGCAAGCCGGCTGTCGCGGCGGAGGCCGGCGATGGCACCGACGAGGCCACCGCAGTAGCTGGTAAGCTAACTTATCCCTTTCCTAGGAGACGTTGTATCTGTGGGCAACAAAAATTAGTGAGTGGATTGGGAGCTGCTTTATGCAGCGGGTGGTTGGGTGTCTAGATCTGCTTGGCATTTCTTTACCGGCCGCTTTCTTTTGGTAATATCATATCCATTTTTGCTGAGATTCAGCCTCAAATCAGACAACAATGGAACCATCCACGGATTTACACTAGCCTGAAATCAGCTGCTAGTGATGGCTCCTCACCTAAACTATCCCCGATATACACTGAAGATTTTTGTTCTAGATAATTCGGTGAAGAGGGTGGTAGCTTCAGATCTCACTAGGAACTGGATTTTCTTCTTGCAGTGGAGGAAGACAAGGATGAGGAAGCTCAGCCCAAGGATGAGGAAGTTCAGCCCAAGACCGAGCACGCCGTGGACGCCACTGTGCGGCCCGCCAAAGCCGCAGTGGCCGTTGACGCCAGCAAGCCGGTGTGCTACGAGACGAGCCGGCGCTCCGACACCTGCGAGGCGGCCGGCGACGTCCGCCTGGTGGGGAGAACCCAGACCATCTACGTCGACACGCTGGAGCGTGAGTGGAAGACCAGACCCTACTGCCGGAAGCACGACACCTACGCGCTGTCCCACGTCAAGGAGTGGTCCCTGAAGCCGTTCCCCTCCGGCGACGGCGCGGCGCCCAAGTGCACGTCCAACAGCTCGGCCACCGCCTTCGTGATCTCGACGGGCGGGTTCACCGGCAACCCCTTCCACGACTACACGGACGTGCTCATCCCAGCCTTCATCACGGCCCACCGCTTCGCCGGCGAGGTCCAGTTCCTGGTGAGCAGCTACAAGTCGTGGTGGATGAGCAGGTACATCCAGATCTTCCAGCAGATGAGCCGGTACGAGGTGGTCGACATCGACGCGGACGACGAGGTCCGGTGCTACCCGAGCGCCGTGGTCGGGCCGACGTTCCACAAGGAGCTGGGCGTGGATCCCTCCAAGGCGCCGTCGGGCGTCTCGGTGGCGGACTTCCGCAAGATGCTGCGCAGCGCGTTCGGGCTGGAGCGCGCCACGGCGACGCCGAGCGGCGACCGGTGGGACATCCGCCGGCGGCCCCGGCTACTGATCATCTCCCGGCGCACCTCACGCGGGCGGGCCTTCATGAACGAGCGCGCCATGGCTGACATGGCTGGGAGCCTCGGGTTCGACGTCCGGATCGGGGACCCGGACACGACCTCCGACACGTCCAAGTTCGCGCGGCTGGTGAACTCGTGCGACGTGATGGTGGGCGTGCACGGCGCCGGGCTGACGAACATGGTGTTCCTGCCGGCCGGCGCCGTGCTGGTGCAGGTGGTGCCGTACGGGCGGCTGGAGTGGCTGGCCCGCAACACGTTCGCGGAGCCGTCGGCGGGGATGGAGGTGCATTACCTGGAGTACGTGGTGCAGCTGGACGAGACGACGCTGAGCGAGCAGTACCCCAGCGGCCACCTGGTGCTCAAGGATCCCATGGCCATCCACAAGCAGGGGTGGGACGCGCTCAAGACCACCTACCTCGACAAGCAGAACGTCCGGCCGCACCTCGGCCGCCTCAAGAAGACTTTCCTCCAGGCGCTCAAGATGCTGCCGCACGGCAGGGACGATTAGACCAGCTCCCTTTAGTTCACCCTCGTCGCCATCATCGTGGGAGCTTGAGAGCTGCTGGTAGCCTAGTATCATCACTAATAGTGTACAAAATGGATGCAGAGGACAAGTGTCTATAACCTTTTCTCTGTTTTCGCCTAATCCGTGGGCCGCGGTGCACTGTACTACTCTACTCTCTTTTTTCAGCGTGAGGTAAAACTTGCAGCCGCGTTAACAGGATGCACACACTCAGCACAAACCAGACCCACTATCCTCTCTTTTACTAAGCAATGCTCATGTGTTTTTATTTTGCAATTTAGCAATTTTGTAGTACACGTACAATGCTCAGCGATGTACTACACCGTTTCCCTAGAAAGAGGAAAGAGAGAAGTCCATATTAGATAGCTGAAGTTCAACTTTAAAACCATCTACTTTAGAACCTCAAACTTCTATAACCGGACAACTCAAATTTTTAAAACCGGACAAAAATCAATCTTGGCTCCAGTCAAACAACCGGTTTCATCCTTGTTTTGAGTCGGTCGAAAACCAAATCGACATCACAGTTGAAAGTGCATGTGACACTTAATTATATTTAGGTGTGATGACAGTATGGTTAGTGAAACTAATATCGATTGCTAAAGTTTATTTTAGAATATTGATTATATGAAAATCTTGTTGGAGATGATTGACCCCTCCCTTCATTTCAAAAAGATTAAAGGCATGGGTTTCCGGCGGCTAGAAGGCTTTCGTTTTGGATGGATTTGAGTAGTAGGAAAACGGTACTATTAAGAGGACTCATCGTGCATGAATTTTGTGTAGGAATGATTCAAAACTATACACCAGCCTTCCTACACCTAGCACTAAATTACCTTGAGTAGTGTGCTTGTACGCGGAAATCCAACTTGGTGCCCAGGCTCATCTGCTCCCGCTCAGAAAAAAAATTCAAAATAAATACTAGAAAAATTAAAAAAAATCCAATTTTTTTGGAGTGGTAGATAATTTCATGCGTGAGGTCCGCTCTAAATTTCAACACATTTTGACATTTTGCAGCTCTCGGCAAAAAAGACAAATCGGATCATAACAGTGCGTGAACAGTAGACATTTTTACAAACCCCCATTTTGTCTTTTTTGCCGAGAGCTGCTCAGATGTCTAAATAAGCTGAAATTTGGTGCGAACCTCACGCATCAAGTTATCTACCACCAAAAAATATTTGGATTTTTTTGAATTTTCTTTAGCATTTGTTTTGATTTTTTTTCTGAGAGGGGGTGCAGATGAGCCTGGGAGCAGAAACTCCGCGTCCGCTTGTACGGAGGTATCCTTGAGTTACCACAGGAAATTAGAGGATATCCCGTGCGCACGGGGTAGTAAGTAGCTCTTTGGACACCCAGTGTGTATGGGGACTTTGACCCCGTGCGCATAGGTGGCGTGTAACTCTCTGGACACCCCGTGCGCATGGGGTCCTGGACATCCGTGCACACAGGATGGTGGTTTCTTCTTTGGACACCCCATGTGCATGGGGCTGACTTAGCCCGTGCACGGGGTGCAATGGGCAGAAAAACGCATCCGGCCAAGAATACTATAAAATGACCTTTTCTTCCATCTCCAACCCTAACCCTTATGTCTTGTTAAGCTTCATCATTGCCTAACTCCATTTTGCTCATTCGTTTCAATCCATCCATCCAAACTTGTTGAAACTTTGGGAATTGAGTAAGATCCGATCTACACTTTGACCAAACCAATTCATGTTCCCCACAAGTTTTGTTCACCATTGACTTGTTACTCTTGGAGCTTGGGCTCCTAGGGCCTTGTTTGTTTGGGCTTTTTCTTAGGCTTTTGTAGCTTTTCCACTTTGGCCAAAAAGCCATAAAAGCTCCTAAATATGTGATTCTGGAGCTTTTATGGCTTTTGGAGCCAAATATTGTTATATTGATTCATCAAAATCCATAAAATCTCCAAAAACACCTATTTAGGAGCTTTTATGGCTTTTTGGTCAAAGTGAAAAAGTTGCAAAAGCAAAAGCCCACACAAACAGGGACTGCGTGGTTAGTGTTCCTCCGAAAGCATTACTTGTGGTGTGCTCAAGAGACATATGTAAAGGTGTTGTGGCCGCCCTCAAGACCACCCCCGAGTGCGAGGCTCATCCGTTGAGGGTGTCTCGAGGAGAATACTGTGAGGCTTCTGTGGCGTTTCACAAGCTTTGGCCCCAACACAGCTGAAGGAGTCCTGGATGAAGGGGTCCTCAGGCCGCCGACCCATTGCTTACGGGCCGGACTGATGGGCTACTATGGAGCCAAACTAGGGCATGGACCTGTGACCAGACAAAATATCTTTGGAGTCGTGGTGTGCCCTCCAAGTCAAGATTTAGCCTCATCTTTCTTTGTTGTAATCGATCGCATGTAACCCTAACCCTACCGATGTCTATATAAACCAGGGGGTTTTAGTCTTTAGGGCTAGAGCAACATCCAACACCGCATCAACCTAGGGTTTAGCTCGCCTGATCTCGAGGTAGATCAACTCTGTAACCATATCATGCAAATCAAATACAATCAAGTAGGACGTAGGGTTTTACCTCTTCGAGAGGGCCCGAACCTGGGTAAACACCGTGTTCTGCGTTCCTTGTTCCCCATTGATCCTAGATCCACAGCTCGGGACCCCTACCTGAGATCCGCCAGTTTTGACACCGACATTGGTGCTTTCATTGAGAGTTCCGCTGCGGATCGTCAAGAGGTCGATGGCCCAACTATGTGTTGGAAACCCCGTTTGCGCCAGGGACATCTTCATCCCTGGCCAGATCTTCATTTTCGGCAGCCTCACTTTTCGTGCCGACCTCACTGGTCGCTTGGGCCAGGTTGAGAATCTCACCCCCCGACTACTGAGCCAGCCACCGGAATTTAGAGTCCAGCGCCGGCCCTCGGGAAAGCCCTCCTCCCGAAGAATCCGCTACCCCTACAGAAGAACCCGCCGAGCCCGACGCCTTGACCTCGGATTCGACGGGCCTGAAGGGGGGCTGGCACCATCTAGGATCTGGCCCTAAAGCTGGACCCCAAGTACCCCAAAGAACGTCCCGCCAAAGATACAAGGGGCATTCCCCCGACGGGAACCTCTTTGGTAGACAACCTGGTAGATCGATTCCTCTCCATGCGAATCTTTGTCAGCAGGCCTACGGCCTATAACTGGATCGGGCTTGAACCTGGCAACAGAGAGATCCACACCCCGCCGATCACACACACCTCGTCGCTACTGTCTAAGAAACGGCGGAGGGATCGCTATCTCCAAAGTTAAAAATGATATATACCCGGGTCTCTAGCCCGGAGATGGACACCCGTCAAGAGAAAAGTCTGAATTCGACCTATGATACAGGATCCGACCTTGAGTGACCCAACTACACACGGGCGCACACCCGAACACTATGCGGCATGATCCGGATACAGCCCAAACACGGTTCGCCACTGCCCATGCTCTGGACTCACAACCGATGGGAGTGCCGAATTTTTTTCCACCCACCTTCCACACCGAATATTCCCCGAACGCGGGAAGTCCGGATGCATGGGACCTAATGTACGTCAAGCGGCATCCGGGAGAACCGGTCCATCATTATTGTGCCACATTTCTCTTGGTCAAAAACAAGATAACTGACTGCCGAGACGAAGAATCGGTCCATCATTACTGTGCCAGATTTCTCTTTGGAGTTTTTGGTTGTAAGTGTTTCATTATAAACAAGAAATCCCCGTTAGCTAAGTTTGAGCCTAAAACTTATGAGGGTGTATTTGTTGAATATGCACCAAATTCTCATTCTTACCGTGTTCTCAATAAATCCACCGAGTGCATTGAGGAAACGGTAAATGTGGAGTTTGATTAAGATAACGGCTCCTGTGTGGAGCAAATTGTTCCTAGTGTCGTAGGTAATGAGGCTCGTTCTATACGTACTATGAGGTTAGGCCACATTCATCCACAAGAAACACCCTAAGTCCAAGTAGAAGAAGAGAGTAAGATCCCCTCTTGTAGATTCTTTACAAGGCAAGTCATCACCCACACCACAAGTACAAATGTATGGGAGATCGTGAACCTATCCAAGAACAAGAGCAAGTCCCTCATGTTTCCAGTTAAGATCAAGGGTAAGCTCAACCAAGTGGTGACGTACCAAACATTGATGCCCAAGATCAAGATCATGATCAATATCAAGTTCAAGCTCAAGTGAAAAACTGTTTGAGATGAAGAAGCAAAAGGTGGCTTGATACGTCTCCAATGTATCTATAATTTTTTATTGTTTCATGCTATTATATTATCAATCTTGCATGCTTTATATGCAATTTTATATCATTTTAGGAACTAACCTATTAACCTAGTGCCCAGTGCAAGATTCTGTTTTTGCCTATTTTATTGTTTCACAGAAAAACAGTACAAACAAAGTCCAAATGCGACTTTACAGAGATTTTTTCTAGACCAAAAGGGACCCTGGAAGCTTCGGAGCAGGCCACAAGATATACGAGAGAGCCACAAGCTCACAAGGGTGCGCCCCAGGGGGCGCCGCCTGAGCTTGTGGGCCCCTCGTAGGTCCGTTTGACCTAATTCCAACTCCATAAATTCCCTAAATTCCAAAAACCACCAGAGCGAGACCCGAAATAATTATTCTGCCGTAGCAAGCCTCTATTCTTTTGTGATCCCATCTGGAGGCCTCCGCCGGTACTCTGCCGGAGGGGGAATCGATCACGGAGGGCTTCTACATCAACCTTGCTGCACCTCGAATGATGTGTGAGTAGTTCCCCATAGACCTACAGGTCCATAGTGATTAGCTAGATGGATCTCTCTCTCTTTCTTTGATCTTCAATACAATCTTCTGCTCGGAGTTCTATTCGATGTAACCTTCTTTTGGGGTGTGTTACTTCGGATTCGATGAATTGTGGGATTATGATCATATTATTCATTGAAAGTAATTGAGTTATACTTTCAACTTTATTACGTGTGATTGTTATAGCCATGTAATGCTTTCCGATCTATGAGTTTTCTTTGGCCAAGTTGATGA